GATTGGTCAAGTGTTTATTATGCATCCAATATTTTTTCATCCAAACAATTTTGAGGTATCTGTTCAAAAAGTTTAGGTTATCACTTATTATTGTCTATTATTCCTACTTTGATAATAATGTGTATAACTTTTATTTTTGTTAGGCTCATCACTAACAATGACACATTCCACTACCATAATCGGAGAAGATAATATGAGAAGATTGCAAAAAGATAGTGCATGATGATTGAAATGTGCCCACTTGGATTTTTAAAGACTTGCTAATATTGCCGGTTTAAAGTATTGGGTTATGTTGCTCACCGATAAATATTATTTTTGGAGTGGACTATGTAGCTTTTTATGATTGTTTGTGTGTATTAAGTTATAAGCCAATTGGTCAATGTGATTACTTCATTTTAAGCACTAAGATCCCTACAATCATGCATCTTGTATGACACTTAAATGGTTTGGTATTGCTCAAATTGCTCTGAGTTCATCCTTCATATCATCCAAATAATGGTAAGGAAGTGGAACTTAAAAATCTTATGGCTCTGTGCAATAAGTGCATGGAACCTAAAAAGCAACGTCCAACACAAGCCCATCAAGTAGTTTGGGTGAGAGTAGAAGGAGATAAACAAAGAAAAAGCACCTGCCAACAAAAAACCCGGCAGGTTAATTTGGGTACCAAAAAGAAAAACCTAGTAGGTTATGTTAAGCATATACCAAAGCATTTCAAGTTACCAAATCTATCAAAAAAAATTAAAAGCTGATATTGCACAAAATACATATATTCCATACAAACCATTTAAATTCACATTACATCCTTGACATTTAAAGTCCTCTCTGAGACTGTGATGTGGAGGGCATTGTTCTCTGTGGTCTACTGCTTCGCAAATTATGGATCATGAATCTGAATAGAGTAAACAATGTATCTAAAAAGAAGTCTTATGTTAATTGAAATGAACGATGTCGTTTTTGAATTACGGAAAATTGGTTCTTTGTAGCAGCTTTGTGATGATTTGGCAGCAATTTCGAGGAAAGAAAAAAGTTGTGCAAAGCTTGCGTGTGTTGGAAGCACTTCGGTTGGCATGATTTTATCATGGGTCCAGTCAAATTGCTATGTCAATTGGAACCAATTTTTTGGTAATCTTCTTGGTGGACATAGCATTATTGTTCACCCTTTATTCTGAGGGTGTAATTCGGGTGGAATGGACGGGTTGGACGGTCAATATTAGTCTAATCTTAAATATATAATTTTTAATTTTAATCTTACCTCAATTTGAGGTACTCAACCCGAGTACTACCCAAATTTAATTCAGGCGAGCTTGAGTTGAATTCAAGTTACTTAATTCGGGCTGATTTCTGGTTAAAAATCGAATTGACTTGTGTTACTTAATTCGGATTAATTTTTTTAAGTGTAGATTTAATTTTTTCAAGTGTAAATCTGATTTTTTTCAAGTAATTTGAAATGAAAGGTGAGACACAAATGAAGAGATAGGGAGTGAGAGAAGGAGGAATGACGAGTGAGAAAGGAAAGCTGAGAGAGGAAGGAATGACGAATAAGAGAAGAATTTGAGAGTAATGGAAACGCAAGGGTGAAGACTTGAAGTGAAGTGAAGTGAAAATTTTGACTTTAAAGATTGAAGATAAATACTAATTCTAATTAAATATATTTTTATATATTTATGTATATTCGGGTTCAACCATATTTTAATATTTGGGTTGAACCCTACAACTCGAGACCTCAACCCGATGTTTGTCCAAATTTAATTCGGGTTGGAGTTTTTTTGCCTATGCCCAACTCAAATATTAAAAATTCTAACTCAAGTCCTATTTTTTTTAAATTGAGTTCAGGTTAAATTCGAGTTGATCTGTCCAAATTACACCCCTAATTTATTCATCCATGGCGGGTTTTTAACCAAGTGGAATAATAGGCTTTGAGTGGCGACCACAGCATGACATGGCCAGTGCCAACTCAATTGGGACTAAGAAAGCTCGACAACTCAATGGGTCTCATCTTCCTCCCCCTTTTCTCTCTCCATGTATTGATACTGTTTCTTCTGCTTTTGGTCTCTCAAATGCTGATATTGAATTGTACAAGTTATTGTTTTCTTCCTTTGACCGATTTGTTATGCTTACTTTTATATTGCACTTTATGTGATTTAATTTTAATACAAGTTTTTGTTATATACTGAAGATTTCAACTATTACATGATTTTCTAAAGACAAAAAATGCACACAGAGAAAATATTGGACACAAAAAACTAAAAAAAAAAATATTCGTAACAATTGTTTCTGCAAAAAAAAAAAGTATTTTAAAATCAAAACTCATAAACCCTTCTTACGATTAACTAAATCGCAAAAAAAAAGGTAATTATCCATTGAAATAATAGATTAATAGAACTTGAATGTAAAAGTTTAGTCAATTTGCAACACAAAAATTGAAAAAAAAATAAAATTGAAATTATACTATAAATAGATATATTGAATTTTGAAAGAGCCCTAGTTAAAATTTTCACCTAGGGACCTAATATATTGTCGTGTTAACCCTGAATGCCTTCATCACAACTAGTACCACCACTACCATCTCACTATGGCCACCACCGCCGTCAACATCATCACTTTCACCCCACTACCACTTGAGTATTAGGTTTGGTTGAGAAAAAATGATTCTAATCATGTATTTCAAATTTACAAGTTATGTTGGTCAATCCAAACAAACAAATATGTCGAGTTAGTGTGGGATTTCAATGTATTTAGTACAAGATTGGTGTTGTGCTTCCACATGTTTCGATGTCAATTAATTCTCATTCTCTATAATAGTACACAATGTTTGTCCTCCCTACCATCTTAAAATGAAAGAGGACGACTTTAGCTTAAGATGTCTTCTCCCTTCCCTCGTCATAAAAAGCACAAGATACCCCACACTTGCTAGTCGAAAAGTTAGATACTTTTGGAAAATTAGAATGTGTTTGGCGGACAACTCAAAAGTCCATCCTATAGATGTAAATACTTCTCAAATAGATAACATTGTTTGGTATCCAAACAATTTTGAACTTATCAAAAAGTGTATCTTCAAGATGCCCATCCTAGAGAAGTTAGTGATTTTTAATTTCAAATTGCTTTCCAAAATTAGCCTTAATTTTTGCAATTTAAATAGCTGTTTTAGCCCTACTTCATAGATAATTTACTTATCTTAAATCATAAGATAGAAAGTAAAAGATATATCATACTAAAACACTAATTGTAGATAGACATGACTAGCTAGTTTATAGATAGATATGACTAGTTGTAGATAGACATTAGTTCAAAAGAACTTCTAAAATACACTTTTACCAAACAATTAGGTATATTAAAAAATCTATTTTCAAAAGTCTATATGGACTTTTACTTTGAGAAATTACACCAAATGCAAACTTAGTAATATTAGGATCACTTGAATCACCTCACCTCATGTAGTCAGGCAAGCTCGGGTAATATCGAACTCAAGACGTCTGCTCCATGAGTTGATAACTTAACAAGATTTCAAAACAAAATATTTTTCTTTCGAATGTCGTTATCATCTTGATGGTTATAATACTTGCATGAGTTTAGCTCTTAGATCTAAATGCAACTCACTATTTATAAGCGGACCCACCCATATACTGTGGTGTCATTTTATTTCTTAAAATCAGGACGGGTTGATTATGATCAAGAAGGCTCACGACCTAGGTTGGCGACCATCGTTGCCCTTCGAGAGGGGCACTGAAGAAGAAAAGCCACATTAGGTATACTGGTCTCCATGTATTCCTTTGCTATTGCATTTTCTTTCACTTCATGCTTGTACCATGAGCAAATCATAAAAGATCTGTCATTTTTCAAAAACAGATTTTCATTTCTCTCCCATTTCCCTCATACATGAGAAAATGAATTATATAAACCATTCGAGTCTCATTTCCTTTTCTCTGCATTTTTCCTTTCTCTTGCTATTTTTTCAGACCGAGTGTCCAGAATAGACAATTGATTTTGAACCTAAAGTAATGGCAAATCCTCATCCACCTAAACGATACATTACAAGTTCAAGTGCCGACATCAACATCTCTAAATGACGATAAAACCACATCACTAATTTTTCCTAGACTCCACTTTCACAAGAGTCTTGTGAAGTAGGTATGATGTGACCCCCCAACCCCTCCTGGGGGAAAAAATGTACAAGAATAAAACGAATAAAACCCACAAAGATGTAATATATATATATATATATACTTGTTATTATTTGTGCCTGAAGACACAAAGTAATAAAAAATAATAAACAATAAATATATTTATATTTATATCCAAATCACAAACATAGAGGAGAGATAAATAAATTTAAACATTGGTTATAGTGGGGTGAGAGATGGTGGGCGGCAATGATCGTGGTAAGAGACGATGATGATTGTTGTGAGTAACAATGACTGTTATAGCGGTGGTGGTGACGTCGGTGGTGGTGATGGCAGTGGTGGCGGCGGTGGTGGTAGAGATAGTGATGGGACGGCTTTAAACACTATTTTTTTTTAAAGTATTTATGAAAAATAATTCCTAAAAGTAATTTTAAAAAATCACTCCAAACACAAATTTAGAGTCTTATTTTTCCTATTAAATTTAAAGTGTTAATATTAGCCGTTAGATTAACTTTAAAATAAAATTTAAAACAATATGAACTACGAAAAATAAAAGTCATTTTATTTATTTTTTAAATTTAAATTATAAATTACTTTATTATATATATATATATATATATATATATATATAGAGAGAGAGAGAGAGAGAGAGGGGATTTGATCATTCTAGTGAGGCATGATACATGAATCTTGAAGCATTTACCATCCACGTGAATATAATTGAAAGTTTGAGATCTCCATGAACACAGAAGACCCAAGATTTTACTGTTGACAACCACCATTCTTAAGATATTTCCTTTGAACAATACAGTCGAACATAATTTATACACCCACTTGGTTTCAGACTTGGTACAACCAAAGGTTATCATTCCCATCTAATCATGTATGGCCATTCCCTTCTGTTTCTTTCATCAAGAAATTCCAGGCCACCAAAGCTGCCCCAACTGCAGGCTCCACCTAAAGGATCAAGAAAAGGTTTTGATATATAAGAAGTATGCTTATCTAAAAAGAATGAAATAACAAAAAGACATATGACAAAACAAGACACAAATAATGCAACATGGGCTAGGAGTGCTAATTTTGTACATGGCACAGCACATAAACACAATCAATCAAGTTAGTGTCAAATAAGAGTAACCTTTTTAACCAGAATTGTATCGATAAAACAGCTATTTTAGTTTTTGTTTCATTCCTTGATATAGTATTATATGAATTTTGGTGGAATTAAGTGTTTCATTTTGCAAATATGTGGATCCAGTAGATTTCCTGCAGACAAAGTGGTGGATTGGATCAAGAGAAAAAGGAATTCTACTCCTTTGGTTTTTGATATGGAAACAAGTACGAACACGACACAAAATCAAAATGACATAACTCGAATATGACACAAATCAATTGCAACACTACCCAGGTTGTCATATTTATTATGAGTCGGTTAACAAATAATTTTTGTTTCACATATACCAAAGCTTTTCACACGAAGCAATTGGGGTTTATAACTTATCCGGAAATAATGCAAGGAAACAATCAGAATAATTTGGCAAAAGACATGGGTATCAATTAGAACAACACAGTGACAAAGTTGAATAAGATTTGTCTATACAGATATAGGGATTAATCTTTGAAAAAGCATAATATTCACAAATGGAGAATATTATAGAGTGAATAATATTGAAAGACGTGATAATTAACACAATAGAAATTCACAAATAGAAAGAAAATCTTCAGTATTAAGATATACAGACGAATAGAAAAGCAGGGTGAAAAGGTCAAGAAGGTTATCTAGTCAGATAAGGGACTAAACCTAAAAAGAACATCTATATTCAAAAATAGGGAATATCACAGGGAAAACAATAATGAAAGACACATGATAATTACACATAGTTCATATTCACAAACAGAAAGAAAAAATTATCCTTTGGTTATAGGGATCAATATTCAATTTTAACAAATGGAGAATATCAAAGTGAAAATAACATAGAAAGACACATTGTAATCAACACAGAATATATTCAGGAGAAAGAAAAAAAAAAGGCGGATAGATTTTTTTTCTTTTTTAAAAAAAAAAAAAGAGGGGGACAACAGAAAATTGGAGATAAAGTCACAAAAAAGGGATTAGTCCAAACAAAATAAAGCAAGAGGACAAAATCACAAAAGAAAATAAGGCTGAAGGAGAGTCAACTCATCGCCTAAAGAAGAAGAGGCGGCCGAAGACGGAGGAAGAATTCTTCCATATCCAGCTTGAGAGAGTCTGCATACTATTATGGCTGATCATGAATATTGTGTATATAAAATACTTTGTCCAAATCAATTGATCCGATGACCTAAAATAAATCACCGAAGGGAAACAAAAAAAAAGCCCGCCTAAAATAGGTGAGGCGAGGCACACCTGGCACCTCATCTGCGCTTGGCAAAATCACCTCAGCAAGTGCGCCGCACCTGGGCGCACTTTTCGCAACCCTGTTGTGAACTACCAACTTCATAGAGTCCATGCTTGATCAGAAATCAGACAGATAGTTAAGCACCTAATTTATCATTGCAATGGTGCAGTTTATAGCTCCTGAGTTCCTTGTTTCCCCTTTTCTCTTCTAACTGACCTTGTCCCCCTCCCCCCAAAAAACAAAAAAAGGGGGGCCACAAGAAAAACTAGTTAAAATTAATGATATCACCAATATGGAGAAACTGGAAAATGGATAAAATTGCAAACCTCTGGTCTAATTGGACAAGCCCCAGGGTAGGTCTTCAAAACAGAGTCAGTAACTTCTTTCCCTATATCCCACCTCTTGTTAGCTTCAAGGACACCACCGACCATGACAACAGGGAAAGAACCCATTCCATCTGCAATTAAAGATCACCATGCATTTGAATTACTGAATTCTACAAAAAATGTTGACAAAAGGTAAAAGGGGGGTGGGTAACAGTCATGCTTTGGTTATGGAATTAAAACTTTTATAATACAATGTGATGATCACATTTCAGATGACAGTAGTCTTGTGAAGACATCAGAATTTTATTCACAAAATTGTATTTCATTTCAGGAGGTCAAGTTCCAAAACACGTAAGAAACAAATATTCACAGATATAATTAGTTTATTTTCACTTATGAGATTAATGAAATTTAACTTCTGATAGTTAAAATGAGGTCAAACCTTCCCCAGCCAAGCATAGTCTTTGAACAACAGCCTTCACACTTTGAGCCAATTCTTGCACTGCATCGTTTAAGATCTCGTTTGCAATTGGATCACCAGCTTCGGCACAGGATACCACTATTGGAACAAGTGCTGCAATGCGGGCCCAAGATGGATCTGCATAGGTCCACCTAAATCCCAATAAGAAAGAAATGAAACTGATTGTTAAATACCACTCTCTATTGAACACCCAGCTTGATATTGAGCCAGTTGTTCATCGGGGTTTCAATCAAGGATCAAAATTTCGTTTCGATCCATTGTTTCAGTCACCTAAGAAACGGAAACGTTTTGACATGTTTCGGAAACGTTTCGACCCGTTTCGAAAACATAATAAAAAAAAATAAAAAATTTAAGAATTATTTTTTCAAAACATTGGTTGAAACATACCAAAATATCTTGAAATATATTAAAACATTCCGAAATAATTGTGCAAATGCATTGAAATATAACAAAACATTTCGAAACATTATGAAACACCTTTAAGTATTAGAATTTCGATTTCATCACTGATTCGTTTCAGTCTTCTTGGAAATGGAAACGTTTCGGGTGTTTCAATCATTTCGAAACGATATTTTAATCCTTGGTTTCAATGTAATCACTCATTTCTCAAAGAACACAAAAACAATTTTGAGCTACAAGTGCATGGCGCCTATTTTAAAACTTGTAAAGTTCAATATTGGCATGGCCAATCTGCCAATAACTCTTCGAAGCCACTACCAACATCCCCATCATGGTCACAGACTTCAAAAAGAATGGAACTAGTGGAAATAAATCATTTTATTAGAATGGAAACAAATTATCGCAATTTTTTGGCATCGTGGGATGAAAAGATAAATTCGTAGATCGTGCACATACTGCCTCTCCTTTCTTTATTTGGGGTGAATGACTACCATTTATGCATATGTACAGCCAAAGAATATCTCGAACTACTACAAACACAGGATTTGAGGTGACTGCAGGCTGCTGTAGGAGGGTCTTTTTCAATGACACCCTCATTTAATCTCTTTTGGATCTGATCTTTAAGAACCCAGCAATCTTCTATCAGATGACTAAAAACCAGAAGAATAGCAGTATTTGGGAATCAGCAAATGCAAATGACATCCCATGGTGGACTGCCTTTTGGCAGTGTGATTACAAACAGTTGCAAACCTAAAGAGTTCAAATGCAAGTTCAGAGGTCTTATATCCCAATTGTTGTGTACATACCATCAGAACTGTTAAGAATCATTCTGCTGATCTCGTTTTGACTAGAAAACAAAAAAAAAAAAAACAGAGATTTGGATGGTGAAGAAACCCAAAAAAAAAAATAATAACCGACATTAGCAATCCATAGTCAAGATCCTTCCCCACTAATTCCTCTCTTACAAGAGCACTAAAGAAGTTTTCTAATGAAAGATACTATACGTATCTCATAGTAGATAACCAGACTCAATTATGTTCTTACGTATTAATGAGTTATGTGCCTTTAACTAGAGATTAATATGTATAGATTTCATAGCAACAGTTATTAACTTTCATAAGAGAAGTACCCTATGAGTTCATCTGGGGAATCAAGACCAAGTGACTGCAAAATACTAGTGGTAAGCATTGTTTGTGGACCACGTCCGTCGTGAGCCCTCACTACAGCTGTCAATGCCAGAGCAGCAATTCCATAACCACTGCAAGTAAAAGATACCCTTTGATACAATTCAATCTAGAAATATCTACAAATAGATGCATCAAGGAACATGCAAGATTATAATGGCCTATTGTCTGACGAAACATGGAAAAAAGCTGAACAAAAGCACAGTTAATACATCCTCTTCCTATACAATACCATAGCAGAAATAGACCGTAAGTTACCTGCCCCAATCACCCAAGACAGGTCCTCCACCAGCAGCACGAGCTTCTCTTCCATCTTCAGTAAATCCATAAGAAATGGTCCCCGTACCTGCAATTAAAACGCAGCCATGCAGTTTCCCCATTGTCCCACTTGCAAGAGCTGCTACAGAATCATTCCGAACATACAGCTTCACATGGCCTGGGAATATGTCTCTGTGAGAACCACCATATTCAATTCAGAAGACATAAAAGCAGTAAAAATACCAAAAAGCTCAATGGACACTCGTCTCTAAATAATTAAGGTCGTTATGGACTAGCATAGAAATACTCTTATCAGAAGGAAAAAAAACTAACATAGAAATGGTAAACCTGAAAGGGGCATTTTCACAATCAATGCATAGGAAACCCCAGTCATCCAGGCCTCTGTCTAATTATTTTTACATAAAAATTGTACAAGGTTTACAATCACCCTCCTTCAACTTTACTTAGACTATTCTTCATTCATTGTCATCTCGGAAACACAATTCAAAATTTCACTTTCCAATAAAATTACAATAAATAATTGATTTGGACATTCTAAAGATTTTAAGCATGTTTTCTTAAAATAAATTGCATATCCTATAATCTGAGAATTTTTATTTTGATTTTCCTTTGCAAAAAATTTCATCACTATTACCTTGACATATTGTAAGTTCTATGAGGAGTTATTTTCCTTCTCACCTGCATACCCACAGGCAACAATACAAGTGGTAGAATGGACCCCAATTGATCTCAATTCCATACGATTCCTACTATCTTTACCAGACAACCAGTTGTAGATCATGTTACTGTCAAACACTTCCTGAGACAAAGATGGTAAGGAAAGACCACCATATTCATAAATGCCATAATCGATCCCTGAATTCTATTAAGATGACCGAAACATATAGCACCTTGTTCAGCCAGCCCCCAAGGTCGCTCATATTATACTTTTGGATACAAATTTCAAGAATTATCATAATTAATGCAAAAAAATTATGCATTGCTTTGCCAACTTACTTTGTTGCAGTCTTTAAGAGCTTAACATTTTACACTGACATTTGGCCATTTTTGTCATGACAGCTCATGTTTATTTGACAAAAAAATTTCATTTGTTGCTGACATTACATAATATCTGAATCCTTTTGTCATTAAATGATATCCCAGATATGAGAGAGACAGTAAGTAAGAAAAGGCTGAATCTAATAGGATGCATTTGTAGACCAATGCTGCAATAGCAAATGCAGGAAAATGAGCCAAAGTGAATTTAAAAACCAACTCCTGCTCAGACAATAAAAACTACAATTAGATTGCACAACCGCATCAAAATGTGACAACAGCATTCAAAACATTAATGGTCCATTTGGTAAGGAGGATGGAAAAATGAAAGGAAAGAAAATTTGAAGGAAACAATTTTCCATCCCTTGAGAAAAGAAATAGACTTTCCTTCCTTTTTGTTTGGTATGATGGCTAGAAAGTTGAAAGGATAAATATTATCCTGTTTAGTATTGAAAGAAAAGTGAACTAAACTTAAATTTATCATTCTACCCCTCTGCAACCTGGAATCTTGTACACAGGCAACTCAAATGGAAAAGATTCATATGCCAACTCATCTGAACTACACATGGCCAACAAACACTTTTTCTATATTAGCCACCATGTGGCAGTGTAGTCAACCTCATATTGGAACACACGCCATTTTGGAATGTTTCTGCCTTCTTGAAGATTGGGCCCATTTGTTGTATATGAAATTAAAGGGTAAAATGGTCAAATCCATGTTCTTTGCCCAAAAATTCATCCTTTCTCTCTCCTTTTCCACCCATATTTGGGGGTTTGGGGGGGGGGGGGGAGAGTTTTGGTGGGCAGAAGGGAAAAAAATTCCTCCCAAGTTTCCAATCTCTACTATTTTCCCTACATACTAAACAGTGTAAACTTTTTCTATCCATCCCATTTTCCGCCCTTCTTTTTTCTCTCTACCAAACAGGCCATAATAGAGAGATAATAAGAAAGTTCATAACCAACCCTGAAAGTGGAAGGTAGAGTGCAAAGTTGGTGAGCAAGGAATACAATATGTGCTAATACAAGACAGCAAACCTTAGCCAATTTAATATCCTCTCCTGATCATTTGGATGGTTGACACCAGATACACCTAAACAAACAGCTCGAACAGCAGATGGCTTTGAACCTGATTTTGATAGGGCTTCTGCCATAACTTGTTCCAATGTATCTCTTGCAGCAGTTTCTATACAAATGAAGCACAGAGAAGGAAGAGGAAACAGTTATAATTATCAATTGGTCATAACGTTTTTCTGCTTCTATGACTAAACAAGAGAAATATACTGCTTGTGTTATCACATAGAAGTCAAGTTTTGTGGTAATGCAATGAGAATCATGATTCTTTTTTTATCATCAATATTAAAGGGGAAATTTTTCTATTTTAAAACCCAGCATATGCACCCTAACATCCTGTGAAAGATTGCATCTCATGTAGGAAACTGTTAAATGATCTCAAACGCCAACAAACTAGATGAAAACCGTGATTCCTAGGAAGGAGATAACTAGATAATCATATGACTAAACACAAACCAGGAAAAGGGGCCTTAATTTCAAAACAAATATAATTGCAAGATAAATTTCAAATTTTCAACTCAACCAAGAGTTGTCTCATCTCAATCAGATTGGTTTCCAGATGCTTGATATACCATTCAAGTTCAGATTGCTTAGTTGATATTTGATGTTTATACACTGGGTTTATGAGATGCGGACAGTGGCTCTGCTGTGCAAGCCATCATTATCCACAGCACCCTTTTCCATACTCAGTAAAACAATACCTGTCCCACATTCCATACAATTCTACTCTGCCAAAAACTACATGTTCATCTAAGTTACACAAATTTATATTCTTTTTAGCATCAGTACATGAAAATTTCAATTTTTTGGTAATTAAACCACCAATAAAGAAAAATCCCTTTCACCAGGTTAATTTTGTTTTTCCCCTTCCCCTAACATTTCCACTAATACTAACAATGCCATAATATGCATATCATTCTTTGTTGTACATGTTCAAACTACTACAATTTGTTTTCTCTCAGCTTCTCTTCAATCGGTACTATTCCTATCATTTAACAAACGTATTCATTCTGATTGCATCTTTCTTCATCTTACCATACAACCATCTTTAACATCTTTATTTAAGATGCACTCATTTTAATTAATTGATTTTCTCTTAGTTGCCAACATTCTGTTGTGTAAAGCATTGCTAGCCTTGTATCCACCCAATAAATACTCCTGTTAGTTTTTTTTGTATTTGTTTATCGAATAATATGCCAAAAGCACTTCTCCAGTTCAGGCAGCATACTCTGATTCTATGTGTCTATCATCTCCAATCGCACCCTCCTCCTTAATAATCAAGCCTACATAACGATATCATTCACTCTTTGGTACCTCTTAGAGCATCTCCAATTCCTACCCTTTTTAGACCCAAAATTATGTTTTGATAAAAAATTCTTAAAAATCTTCTCCAATGCTATATTAATATACCCAATCTCATACCAAATCAAGGAAAACTCAAATTTTTAATCAAATCAAGGGACACTCAAACTTTTACTTAAATCAGTAATAATTAGATTTCATTCTCCTTTAAAAATCTAAATGTCATATTCTATTCTACTTTAAATTTGGGTTTGTCCTCATTTAAATTTGAATTTGCCCTCTTTTAAATTTGAGTTTCTCCATTAAAGTGTTTTGTATCAAATTAAGTTTTTTATTCAAATGTTGACTCAAATTTAAGTCAAGGATGGAGAAGCTCTTAGTATATGTCTTATATTCAGTTTTAGCCAAACTTAACTAAGAAATTATTAAAAAAAAAAATGGAGTTTTATTATGGAATTGGGTGTCAAATTTATTTGATTGCTTAAATCATTCCTTAACCACTCTCATTCATATTCTCCTACATTCCCCCTCAAAATTATGAGGATTTCAAACAAAATCTCGATGAGCTTGTCTTAAAACAAATGCTTCAAACATGGAAGAAGTTCATTTCATTATACAATTATGCCATGATTGTGGATTGGAATTAGAATATCACAAATGAAAATCGCCTCTTAAGACCCCTGATTGCCTATTTGAACCTAAACTTGCCTCATTGGGTAAAACAATTGGGCTTAATCACGAACTTCTCAAGCACATCTTCTAAGTTCTTTTTCCAACCAAACCGCAAGTTGCACAGTGAATAAGCGGCTAGCAAAAAGGACAATAATGAGATCAACTCCATCCATGTTCTCAAATCATCACGAGGATATCATGGTTCAGAGAGGGAGAATGAAATAACAAAAATAAAACACTAGTCAAGATTCATTTAGACTAGAAAACAAACAATTTTTTGGCCAAATGCCACTAGCCGAAAGAGTGGAAGCAGTGAACAACCAAACCCAAACCCATATCGTACTGCTCTAATACCATAAAGAAAATATATATGAAAAAAGGAGTTTTATAATGGAATTGGGTGCTAATACAAAAGATCTTTGAAGGATTTATATGGTTGTCCAATGACCTAAAAAAGAAATAATTAATTAGTTGCATAAATCTGGCACTTAACTACTTTAACTCACGTTCAAATTTTCCACATGTTATGTTTATTTGATTACTCAAATCATTCTTTTTAATCACTCCCATTCATATTTCTTACACTTAAAGCCCTTTTAATTCAAGTGTTTCTCTGCACATTGTAACTTGGCGTTAATTTCTCTTTAGTTTCATCCATTAGAACAATATCATCAATGCATTATTCTTTTTAGGAGCGCGGTTGGATTCTGCTCGTTCATGGAGGTCTTCCTTCTGGATGGAAGTTATAACCTTAATCCTCGGTCCAAGTGTGTTATAGAGGATTAGCATACATAATTGAATATCATCCTCAATGGGTCTGATCAATGTATATATAATTGTGGCAAATAGGTAAGGACCTAAGACTGATACTTGGTGTAACCCTATGATGATTGGGAATTTATTGGTTTCACAGGCAGATGACCTTATTGTAGACATAACCCCATTAATATGTCCTTTGTCATATTAATATTTGTGAATTGTGACTTTTTTAAACCAAAACCCACCATATTAAATCTCTAAGATTATGTCATCACATTTTCCTAAATCTACGAGAAACATAAAATCTTTCATTTTCTCTATATGTTTTCCCTTCATCTCCTTCAAAACAGATGGGTTCCTCTATATGTTTCTCTTCATTTCCTTCAAAATAGATGGGTTCCATTATTGACCTACTAGGCAGAAATCCAAATTAATTCCCTAAAATTGTTGTTTCAATTCCTAACGATACTAAATTACCCTAGCCCAAAATTTCCATATACCTTGGTAGACGTTGCAAATTTTGGATATTCCCTTTAATTCTACATAGATAGTAAAATATTCTTTTTCTCCTTCTCATGTAATGTCTAAGTAATTATACTCTTTTATCATTAGCCAAGACACCCCATCATTAACTAACTATTTCCAAGTCTTAATTGGGATACTATCTGGTCCCAAAGCCTTGTCTATTTTCATCTTCGTATTGCATTCACTTCCAATTTTCTTTATTCTACGATAAAACTTGGGCTCTCTAGTTCCATTAAGAGTACCATCCTTCTTTCTTCTAAGGCTTTCTAAATTATTTTCATCGATATGTGTTATGTTATGTGTTATTTCTAAACTAAGGGTAGTTTGGTACTTTGTAACTATATAAAAGTTGAGTATAGTTGTGTACCTAACACATTACTCTCTTCTCATAATATTGTCTCTCTTTCTGTTCTTTTTCCTCTCTTCTTCTAAACCTTAATTACTCCATAATCTAACTTGCTATCAAAGCATTGATCCAAATTCGAAGCTGTAAAGTTGTTGGAAATTGTCGGAATTTTTCTGACCTAAACTAACTGGATGACATCATATTCTATCAGACTGATGTCAATCACCAATTCAACAGTGTCAGAATTTTTTGAAATTTCATTTACAGATTCAAACTCTTTTCCTAAGATTTATGGTTATTTTCTTCACAGTTTGGCTACTGGATTGTCTTCTAACAATTGTTTGGATTGTGTTTGGCTACTGGTGAAGTTATTTTCTGGTTTGTGGTCTATCCTTGGGCAGTGTTTTTTTCCAGTGACGATATGTCGTTTGCATCAATCCGATTTTTGGGACATGTTGGAAGGTAGTGTGATTTCTACCAACAATGGAGGAAGCAAGATAAGTCATTTAGGTGCTCTAACAAACAACCCTTCTCTTCAAATTAGTCCAAAGAAGTTGGATGGAAACAATTGGTTGGCATGGTCACGGGCTTGTTTGTTATCGGTTCAAGCTATTTCCTTGGATGAACATTTGACCGAGAGACTAAGTGGCCTAGTGAGTTAGACTATTCCATGAAGCAATGGACATTTGAAAATACATTAATTATGTCTTGGTTGCTTAATTCAATGCAACCCTCTATTAGTTGTGACTTTCTATTGCTAGATACGGCCCATAAGATTTGAACTAATGTGGCTCACACATATTCTCAAAGAGGCAACAATGCCAAGTCAATGACCTTCAAAAGAAAGTTCGTGAAACTAATCAGAAGAACAAGGCCCTTGCAGTCTATTATACAAAGTTGACTACTTTGTGGAAAGAGCTTGATTACCACCAAAATTTTTAGGTAGAGTGTGCTAAGGATGCATCAAAGTTTTAACAGATGGTGGAGAAGGAACATGTGTATGACTTTCTTACTAGCTTGATATTGAGATCAGATTCGAATTCAAATTTTGGGTCATAGTCAATTCCTTACTTTACAAGAGGCCTCTGCCCATGTCCACTAGGAGGAAAGCCGGAGAATTGTTATGGTTTATACTCCTACTTAGGAACAATCTACATTGGCTATTATTCATCAACGTGACTTGAGTTTGGCATTGCCTAAATCTATTGAGACAGGTGGCACTATTGCTAAGGATACCATAAAATGTGACTAGTATAGGAAGACCAGATACAATAGATAAGTTTTTCATCTCAGATAACTGAAGGGAATATGTGTAAGGTGAAGAAGTTTATCTATGAGTTGAAGTAATCTATTAGAGCTTGGTTTGATAAGTTTCTCAAAACTATGCTAAAATTTTGGTATAAATAAAATTATGTTGATCATACTATTTTCGTTAGACAGATTGATGACAAGATTACAGTCTGCATAGTATATGTG